AAATCTTTTGCGCATAGATAGAATTCGCTTTGTAAACCTGTCAGTGGAGCTTTGACTGGCTGGTCTACTATTGCCTGAAAGCTTTAACTTACTTTCATACTTATGTTTTTTGCGGTAGCGAACTGAACTATTTTTATATGGAGCACAGAGTAACTTGTTTAAGGTAGTCCAAACCATTTGGAAGTACCGGTAAAATGTGCAGATTATGTGGCTGAAACGTATAAAATGTGAATGGCATGTGGTGTAAGTAATCAACCGGTTTTTGGACTATAAATGAAAAATACTTATATATAAAAATAAAATTAAGAAACACTTGTTTTAGACTTAAATTTTTTTAAATTTTAAACTTAACTTAAAAAAAAATAATAGCTGCCCTTTCTCATGGCTGAAAATTAACAGATAATCACATCAATGCACATTCGACTTGCATACCAGGTTTATTCAATATCATTAGTTATACTACATTCACCACTTTAACAATGGAATTGTAATTTCAACTTAAAATTTAAGTGACTAACTAACAATAACAGTCATAATAGAAATGATTTGTTAGCGTCCAAAGGTGTCCAATTTAGTTTGGTTCATTCATATTAAATACTCATACACTATGTGGTACATTGATTTGTTCAAAATAAAATAAACCTTTTAAATGAACATTTTTTGGAATGAAGTTTACAAATGTTTACACACTCTTGTTTGCATTCGTACTACCTTTGTAGATATATAGTCGGCAGTCCATATTTCAGCACGTCACGTCTATTACAGAACAAACCAAAACAAAATCATTTCTTGTGAATGTTGACAAAAGCTGTTAGACTCGTTTTGTTGTTTTTCCAATTGACTTCGTATAATTGCAAAACATTCTTTTAAAGCCAAGTTAAGCAGTACTTAAGTCTTTTGTTGTGTACAATCTCCGCCAACCTTGGCTAACACGTTATTTGCTTTGCAGATAATATTATGTAATGCAGATTAAATAATAATAATAGAATTCCGCCTTTATCCAGTGGAGCTTACAAATTGAATTTTAAACACAATTTTAAATGTTTGTTTAAGAATTTATAATTGTGCGAAATCAATCACTTTATATAATTAAAATAAGACTATGATAAAAATTTAATGCTATCAGCAACTGAGCTCATTATTTTCTCAGCACATTACTATATAAACAATATTAGCAGACCTGCAGAAAATAGCATTTTTTTCCTAGATTGCAATATTAAAGGCAGTAAAAGATCCAGCTATCCATGCAAACTCATTTCGGAGACAAATGATTCTAGACCTACTATTTGGTGGAAAAAACTGGAATGAGGTGAAAAGATTGGCATTAGATAGAGTTCAATACAATTTATATAGTACGGCGATATGTTCCTTGTGTAAAGACACCCGACGACCCGGTTGTTCACACAACATAAGAAAGAGACAAACTGAAGCAAAATTATGATTACAAAATAAGTAGCTGTAACAAAATATTAAGGGTATGAGCCAAAAGTATAAGCACACCTTAGTAGACCCAATGAGCCAAAAGTTTTAGCGGTCTTTTATATGCACAACATAATTAAAAATCCTAAATTAAAGTCTCCAAGGCAGTAAAAAACTTAGATATGAAAGAGTCAAATTTGGATTTTATTGAAATTAAGTTAAACGATTAGCATTGGATGGAAGTTATTGAGATTAAGATTCTGGAACAACAGTTTTTTTTGTGTTGTGCTTTTAGACTTGGAGCTACTTTACAGAGGAAAGTAAGTGGTTACGAATACAACTCCATTCATAGTTTCTTTAGTCCTACTCTCAGATATAATAAGTAAATAGAAAATTGTTTGTTGATTTTCCGTCTTAAAACACTTAGCTATCCCTCATTAGGAGATGGTTTAACCATATATATTGATGGCTTAAAAATAGGTCATGATGTAGGCTTTGGAGTTTTCTCAGAGAAACTTAATAAATCTATATATTATAGGTTTCGTTATTACTGCAGTGTTAATCGGGCGGAGGTGATCGCTCTAATGGAAGATATAGCTTGTTTGAAAGTGGATAATATATTAAATAAGAATATGTAGATACTATCAAACAGGAAAAATGATTTAAACTGCTTGAGTTTAGTTTAATTTACATCCAAGATGATTTTGGATTGCTTAACAGCTCTAAATAAGTAACAACTCTGAATAAATTGTTGACGCGGTTTTCCTACTCTAAGTTTCACGTAAAAGAATCTGATGGAGTATTTCAGATAATCATTCGAAATATCTAAAGGATGTGGCATACCGTTAGCACCATGCGAAAAGCTGAGGAAGTTTTTCTACATATATTAAATAATTTAATACAAGACAGAAGTACTTAACGATATGCAGGCATCTGTATGCAAGTTGGTCGCATTCTATTTAGAAAACAAACAACAATCTTAATGATATGCCCGTAAAGACATCAATCTTCTGATAGGTTTGTTGATAGGTCCTAATCGTTTAAGAAACCATGTTAGAAGATTCCATCTTCCGTTTACTGCCACACATTTCCTTTCTTACTATTCAGAACATGTACGGTGACGTTTGACTATGCTGAAGGAATAGTTTTTTTAGAAACTTGGCCAGCTCTAGGATCTTACTGTGAAGTGCATAGATGAATTATTAGGCTTGCTGGTATAATAGAAACTATTCTATTGAAAGATGATCTCAGTGCTTAAAACAATTTAAACATCAAAACTGACTGGTTTTGATACAGTAGACATTTTGGATATACTACGTGATATTTTTGATAGCAAAAAAAAAAGCCTTCGGTAGTTACTAGTTCATTAATAAACGTGATTGTGACTGTTTCTAAGATAAAATACTAATGCTCTTTACTTACTACGTCTAGTGTTATAGGTCGTATGCTTTCTTTACAGTTGTTGGGAGATCTTTTTTTTTTGGATAAGACTTAAAATTTTCTTATCACATCATTATTGATAATATGCTGCTCAAAATGTCAATTTAAAACTAGTTGAAAGTAAATAATGAGTTCATTGTTAGACTTTGAGACCCATTTGACAGTTTTTATTAGAAGAGTCTTAAAACCTTTCTTTTACGTTAATCGACAATAAGAGCATGTAGCATCTTTTGATGAGTATCAGAGTAGGCTGCCGTATTGGGAGGTTTGCTTTTCATTTGTGTGCCTTTGAAGTCACATAGAATTGGCTTTCGCTCATATTAAATGATTTTCGATGACTATAAAGATCACTTTCGCTCATATTAAATGATTTTCGATGACTATAAAGATCACGAACGTATCATAGAGCATTAAAAATATTCCTAAGAACATTATTTTGGAGCCGTTAAGTTATGTTAATATTGTATAAGGTAAGGTGCACTCAAAAAGAGTTTACCACTCTGGCTTTCAAATTTATTTGTATATATTTTATAATTTAATCGTTTTGACAGATTAGATCTTCGAGTCTTTGATGAGTTAGTCCACTTTGGTAACCTTCATATGGAGTTCATTTTGTATTATTTTCATGTGCATTTAGTAATAATGAAATTTTATTAAGAAATTGTACAATACATGGAATTAAAATAATTATACGTTATTAGTTACATTGATTATCATTTATGTGTTTTTAATTATATAATTGCTGCTCACTTTGACACATTTTAAAAATTTCATTTCATTTCATACCACAAAACTGAATTTGAAAGCCACGTTTAAATTGTGTTCAATAACTTTTTATTAAATCATAATTATAAGCTTACTTATACTCGTAGTAAATTATAAAATTATAACAATTTAAAAATTTAAAAAATTAATGTATAAAAAAATTAATCATTAATTTAAATAGTTTTTCGACTGAACTGACATTGCGCGGCTTTTGTGCTGCTATTTGAGTTTGAGGTGCTTCGTCAAATTCGAGACCGTAACGTAAAATGTACCATTCAGCCACAAAATAAATAACCAACGTGATCACAGCTAACTTAAGATATATCTTAAAAATGTCAGAAATATTCCGAAATATATTCTGTAAACACTCCATGACGCAAGTATCGAGACACGGCGGACAACACTTGAAAATTTCAACAAAAACCGAAATTCGTTTTGTGCGAAAATTTCGTTCGAAAATGCGAACGTGAATGTCAAGCGGTTTTACGTGGTGGAGCGGCAAACACGTAGGTAGTGGGGGGTTTCTTCAAGAAGCTTAGCTTTGAACACATTTGTTGTCAATTATTCGATAAGCTGCTGCTAATGATGATTGCGATGATTTTGCAGGTGACGAGCCCGAGTTCGTGTTGAAATGAGGTTGTTAGCGGGTTGCGTACCAATGCAATCTCAGCGTCAACGAAATCGTTTCGCCGCTGGCTCCGCTATCAAAAAATTATGCAATTTTTTGGTTTATTTTTATTTGATCAAATTTTGTAGTTCGGCGTTATTTGTAAGTTACCGATTTTCTGGTTTAAATTGCAAATTACTTCGATTACTTGGATTGGATAGCTTGGATGGCTTGGGTTCGGCTTTAGATTTGCATTTGGCTGTCGTCATGCCATACCATGCCACCGCTGTTTAGTGAAGTGTTGTTGTTGTTATCTGTCAATTTTTAAATTTATTGCCAACAAATACGAGTATTGTAAATGCTGACTACTACATTGCTCTGTTTGTTGACTTTGATAATATTTTCATTTCAATATTTAACTTATTAATTCAGCAGGATGAAGTTTTGGTTATTAGTTTCTAATGAGATCGCTTCTCTTTCTTCAGTGACCATGTAAGTTTTAATTTAGTTGCTAAAATAGAAATATAAAAACTTAAATAAATATTTCTTTTATCAACAAAATAATAAACATTTGGATAAATAATCATTTTAAATGCTTTTGACATAGTTAACATATTATTAGTAAGTAGATGACAGTGATTATCTAAAGCAATATTAACTTTAGATTTATAACAATACAGTAATATATAGTATTTATTAGTTAGAAGATGACATTGATTCTCTAAGCCAATATGTTCAGATATAACACAAAATCAAGCCCGCAAAATTTCAGTATTCCAAAAATAATAAATTTATAAATAAATACTAATACAATAATATAATAAAATTGTAAATTAAATTGATTTTTAACGTCCGTTTTGACGAAATAAAATAAATTCTTAATAAAAACTATTGCTTTTAATAGAGAGGAATTTTAGACAGTAGTAAATTACAACAATAAAATTTTATTATTTATTATTTAATTGAATTTTTGACTGACCATAGAATTATTTTGAATATTGCCAAATACCCATCATCAGCGGTCTTGGAATTGTTTCTTTTATAAAAAATTATTTACGAATAATTAAATACAAGAACTATTTCCAACACCGTTGATGATGACTATTTGGCAATAATCGAAACAGCTGTATGGTTAGTCAAAAATTCATTTAATTAATAAATAATAAAATTTTATTGTTGGAATTTACTACTGTCAAAAATTCCTCTCTATTGAAAGCAATAGTTTTTATTAAGAATTTATTTTATTTCGTTGAAATGGACGTTTAAAATCAATTTAATTTACAATTTTATTATATTTAGTATTTATTTATAAATTTATTATTTTTGGAATACTGAAATTGTGCGAACTTGATTTTATGATATATCTGAACATATTGGCATATTGAGATAAAGACATATCAATAAAGGAGCTCCGATAGAAAGTAAACTAAACTGTATAGATGACAAGTATAGTACTTTTGTTTTATAAATGTATCACTGATCGATTCAATGGTATTTATAAAAAAAAAATATTTACAACATTTTCCATATATATAAACTTTTCCTTATAAAATGCTTTTTAGAGAATTTTAACATTCAAACAAAACTCGTCGAAATTTCTTAAAGATGGGAACACTAGTTACTGAGTTATCAGCAATTGACAACTATAGTCAGTCACAAGCCACTGAAAGTGGGTTTTAGGTATGAAAGAATATACAAATTTTGGCTATAGAAATAGAATCAGCCACAAAAGTTGAGTTGATTAAACTCCGTTAATGCTGTTTCTGTAATCATCTGCGTAGACTACAAATATTTAAAGCAAACTTCTTACTCAGTTAAAGATACAAAAAAATTTGCTGGGCATATGATGGAACTGCAAAGTCAGCCTACATTTGATAAATCAATATTAAACTAAATTATACATCACAACCTATAAACTGAGCATTGCTCCTTATATAGTAATTTTTATTATTCGAAGCCGGAAATAATAGTGCTTGAATATAATATATTAATGAAACATTGACGTTTATCATGTACAGTATTATAGATTAAAAAAAAATTCTATCAAATTTTGAGATTTTTCCAAATAAAGTAAATAATAAAATTAAATTTAAAGGTTAAATTTAAAGGCATATTTGATAATAAAACCTTAGAAATATTGAGCAACTTATAATCATTTAAAAACAATTGCTAGAAAAAATGATAGAAGGGATCATTTTAGTTTTTGAGTAAAATTAATTTAGTTAAAGTTCTTAAAAGTAACATCAACAATATATTAGTTTCTATATATATTATTGTTGACTCTTATATATAACTCTTATAATAATTCATTTAATAAACTATAAAAAAACTTTGGCAAACAATTTGTGCTAGCATATCTTCCCTTCCTATAGTTACGAAGCTTCAACTGTTATCACAATTAATTTGTTGAACTATAAAGAAATTTTTGAAAAGTATTGAACTTCAACAACAAAAATTTATTTTATATTATTTTAATTACTTGAATTTTTGGCTGACCATACAGCTGTTTCGAGTATTGCCAAATACTAATCATCAGTGGTGTTGGATTTAATTATTCGTAAATAATTTTTTTGAGACTGCAAGTACCAGGAATCGAACTTGTGCCCTATTAAATTTGAAGCTCAGAGTCAGCGCTCCTTTACTAACTGACCAAAGCCGTACTTGACTTTTATGTTCCCACATTTTTCTGAAGTTTTGTTAATTTGCTGTGAAAGTTTTATTAAATTCACTTGCTGTGTTTATATTAGAACGAAATCATAAACCAGCTGTAGAATATTTGAATTAATTAATTATATATTTTTATTTTTAATTGTTGAATTTCTATACTATTCTGTTTGTAGAGGCATTATTTGTTGCATAATTTATATATTCTTCCTTATGTATAGAACCTAATCTAGGAACGTAATCCTGAGAATGTCATGCTAATATTACTCCACGATTCACACGGGCGAGGTCAACATTTTATAAAATTTCGACGCAAAACATTTTCTAGTAAATCCCCCTCTCGGCACAACAATCCTAGCTACGCCACTGATTGTAAATACATTCTTTTGCTGAAGAAGTTTTAGTCAAAATAAACTCTAATATTAATGATATCATTAAGATTGTACTTCATCCTTCCTCCTGTGCAGCAAAAGATATTTATTGATTAACATTAAAAATTTCCTAGAATTTTAATTATAAACTTTTAAAATATTTATATTTTTAGTTTATTTTTAATTTTGTATGACAAAACATGACAAAGGAATAAAATTTTTGTTTTCGAAATATAATTTTACGTAAAAAAGTTAAACCTGTTGAGATATTCCAGTGTCGCTTACGATCGAGTAGATAGCCTTCGACTCAGCACTGGCAGTGCCAGTTTTGCGTGTTTCTTCATCTTTTGAAGTATCTTTCGAATTTAAATGTTGAAGTTGAAATTGTCTACGAAATGGATTTTTTTCCAAAAATTAATGCGAAATACATATAACATAGTACGTAAAATGTACACGAATTTCCACTTTAAGGATGTGTTGCGTTTTTTTTTCTTGATCTTATAAAATTAATTAAAATTTTAATTTTGTTTAATATATGTATAATGAAATGTACTGATGTTAACATTAAACGATATAAACTACAAAAAAAAATTTAGATTATAATATTAATGTGGGTACTAGACTGCTAAAAATGTTACACAGAAATGCATGTCCATTTAATAATGTTTAGGAAATAATAAGAATAATGTTTTATATTTTGTATATTTTGTATATATATTACTATCGTAACATCAAATACCACTGATACATCATTCATATAGAATTTACACAGATTTATATTGTGAGCAATTCTGTCCTCTTAAGTGAAGCATGCTCTGTTATCTGATAAACCTTTTATGTACTTAAAGAGTTACTACATTCATATCAAATATTGTTTATATATCATCTCTCTGTTCTATAACGCAATCAAGGCTTTTACAATCTTATAAATTATAGCATGGATATCGAGTATTTCAATGTCACTGTTCGATCCTTGAAGAGGGCAGTCTCTCAGACCTTTTCGATTTCGGTATTTCTGCTCAAATTTGGTTTGCACCAGTTCTTAAATCGGTATTATATATCCTCAGAGAGCCAATCGATTTTAATTATTTTTAATAACAAAAAGTAGCAAAATTTTTATAAGTTTATATAATAGTCACTTTAGTAATTTTAAATTTAAGAATCGACTTTATATTGGTAGCAGTGTGTTGTGTAAAGATGTGAGAATTAAGTGCAATTTGTTAGCCAATGGGTTTACATCAGTTGTTTTCGCTAATATAGTTTTGAATGTTCTGAGATGGCTTATTGTTGTGTATTAGTACATGGCAAAAACCTCGAAGAATATAAATGATCACTTGATACAGTCTCGCGTGATTTTTTAAGTTATCGAAATTATTATTTTGAGGCAGGCGTTTCAAGTCGATTGCTGGCATAAAAAGAAATTTGATGAAGAATTTGAAGACCATACTCTAATTAGTTTACGAAATGGATGGATTTAAAGGGACCCTGTTTACGGGGAAAAAATTGATATGAATCAATTAGCGGCTTATTTATGCGAGGCTTTATAATATGCGAGGTTAGGCTGTGTATATTTATTACTTGCTGTCTCACAAGTCGTATGTTCTTTAAGGAGACTAAGATCCTCTAAAAACTAAGTTCCTAGTATCTTGAATCTAAATTACTTGCGTTGAATGTTGTTAAAGTAGATGAGAAACACTTTAATCATCTTCTTTATAGTTCTGATAAAAACAATTGAAGGAAAGATTCATAGTTTTATAACGGATAGTGTAAAATTTATGTCAAATCAAATTATCCAAGTTTTAAAATTAAATATCAAAAAGATACTTCAAATAAATTTAATTATTTTTAAATAATTTTTCTTAAAGAGGTTTTTCGAACAGTAGTGAATTACAACAACAAAAATTTATTTTTTATATTATGTTAATTAATTGAATTTTTGGCTGACCATACAGCTGTATTGCCAAATACCCATCATCAGTGGTCTTGGAAATAATTCTTGTATTTAATTATTCGTAAATAATTATTTTTGAGACTAATTTTTTTTAAAAAAATTACTTCAAGAAATTAATTTAAAAAATTATATACATAAATGATGGATATAATTAATAATTATTAATAATAATGAAATTATTTAATTTCATACTTAAATACTGGTTCACAAATTATAGTGCATTTCGCTGTTAGTGTAGATTGACTCAATATAAGAGTATATATATAAAATAACACTTAAAAAATGTATTTATATATAAAATTTAACCGCAATATCATAAATTCATGTCACATCATTATTTATTTTGTTGCATATTAATTAATGCCAAAATCCGCTCTAAATTTGCTTACAGCACATTTTTTATTTATTTTCCAAAACAAAACAAAACAAAATAAAAAAATTACATAATCTTTAAGCAAACAAAGCGTGATTATTGTATCTTATACGGTGCCAAACATTCGAATGTGGGTGAACTACGAACTACGGG